TCTTGGTTGTTGTTGGCATTAACGGTCTATCACTTGATGTCAGGCAATTGACAAAATAAAACCGTGTATAAGGCTGCTATTTCTTTCCGTGCGACGTATGGTCATCTGAATGCTTCATTCTATGTCATTTAAGCACTGATGATTGTACCCTTACGGAACCATTGAAATCCCTCATAGCTCTTGGCTTATTTTTGATGAAAGGCACAGCATCAATCATTGATATGTCATTGAATGACGGCCAAACGATCAAACTCTTGTACAGTATAGTAGCAGAACATTATGAAGGCATTACTGGAATATACCACGCCTTATCAATACTACAACAAGTACTGAGCAAAAAAGACCATGAATGTGACAACATGCTGAAACCCCTCGATAGTTGTGCATCACAGGAAGTACTGACGCAGACCATCAAAAGTTCAAAGTCTAGGAACCAGACCTTGAAACGGGAATACAGTGATATCAACAAAGAGGCTAGTATTGCTTGATATTCCAATAGAATTATCTTTGTTTTTATATCTAAATGTATTAAAAATTTGTCTGAATTCTATTTCATCACCTGTTTGAAACTGTTTTTACATCATTTTGAAATTGATTTTAAAGTTACTGTACCGTATCTTGCCTGTGACGAGCCAAACGATCGCTTCCTGATTACATCGAGTCATACACAGATTCTTGTCGGAGCAACGCATGAACGTTCGATCACTCGTCACCTCTTTTGCTTCACAACATGGCTTACCAGTGGGCGATATCCAAACTCTGGATAACTGGATTACTTTAATTACTTTCCACAATTGCTATCGCCGAGAGAATCTTTCCACTGTTGACTTTACCAACATTATTCTATCTTAGAAAGTTAGTGGTTTTTCCTTTGTTACTCGAATAAGGAAGTGGGCTGAAGATATAATTCAGGATGATTTATGGTTATCACAGGTATAAACTGACGTGTTTGATATAAATTATTATATACTTTATAATCTTACGGTAGAACACACATTCTACTTTACATTCCTCTATCCCATCAATGATAAATAATGTCAGTGACAACATTAACTCTTCCTATAAAGCTCACACGTGTCTTATTTGATATATTCAGCTCTTCTTAATAAAGAATGTAATTCTCAATTTATCGACTTGACCACTTTTTTCCAATAACAAAGCTGAATACAACACTGGTCAGCTGAGATACCCAAAGTTGTATTTATTTAATCAAGTTCAATTACCCCCCACCTCCTTCGTCATTTTTCCGTTTTCAGCTATCTGCCTTTATCATAAAGATGCTCACTGTATATAGCTACTTATCGAGTGTCGAGAATGTGTTATTATATTTGAATGATGGTGAAATTGTTCCCTTGTAAGACTACAATCAAGCTAATAAATTTATTGACAGTTCTAAGATAAGTAATAACTATTGGTGCATCGTTAATATGATGATATTTCTCGTTTCCCTCCCATTAATTGTAATTCAAGACGTGCAGTCTTTTCAGAAAGTAAAATCGCATTTTTGCAGTTTTTATAATACAATTTATACGAAAAAGCGACAAGTCAGCGCGACATCCCCTTATGGAAATGATGTATATCTGTTTACAATAAACTTTATCTCTAACACCAAACATGTACGACAAATCGTTCGTCAATTTTAGCCAATCAAATTCTATACTTAGCCTTATTCGAGCAACAAAAAATTAGCCTTTGCGAAATTTAGAAAATGCAATAACCAATAAAAATCCATCTCAACAGCATCAAAAAGAAAGGTAAAATGAAGTCATAAGTCTTTAGGGCATTGATCGAGTGTCTGTGTGTATCCTATGCTGAAGATATTACAGCGAACAGAAAGAGATGAGTATGAAGACATAGATAATCTATATGGTCACCGGCGTATCTTGAACGCAATAAAGCACAAGAAATGCATCATGAAAAAAGGAATTAGTAATTTCGCTGAACGAATTAGTAATTTTGCTGAACGAATTAATAATGTAGCAATCAAAGATGCTCGAAGGTACGTAGGCGACTAGTTCAAAAAGGAAAGAATGGCACACTTTCTTTTTTGGGACTCAGCTTCCTCTCTAAGCCTAAATATTTTTTCCGTGCTGAATAATACACAAAATACATATAAAAGGGTCCAATTTTTCTTTTTTAGTCTCATTTTATCATTAAACACACTCAGCTCATCTCTACAATGACTATTCAATCTCTCTTCAGCCCAATCAAGATCGGAAGACACGTACTTCAACACCGTGTTGTCTTGGCTCCCTTAACTCGTACAAGAGCTACTCTCGAAGCTGTCCCCAACGACCTTCTTGTTGAATATTACAAGCAAAGAGCAAGCAATGGCGGTCTCTTGATCACAGAAGCTACCTTCATTGATCGTTTAGCAGGTGGATACATTCAAGCTCCTGGTATTTTCAACAAGGAACAAATCGAAGGCTGGAAAAAAGTGACAGATGCTGTTCACGAAAAGGGCGCTATCATTTACTTACAACTCTGGCACATTGGACGTGCCGGCTCGCGCAAATTGAATCCCAATGGTGAACAACCTGTTTCTGCCTCCGACATTCCTATTAAAGGCATCAACTACTTTGGTGGTGGCGACGAATACGACGTACCACACGCCTTAACTGTGCCTGAGATCAAAGAATGGGTTCAAAAGTATCGTCAAGCTGCCTTGAACGCAATTGAAGCTGGTTTTGATGGTGTTGAAATCCATGGTGCTAATGGCTACCTCGTTGATCAATTCATCAACTCCAACAGCAACAAGCGTACTGATGAATATGGTGGAAGTATCGAGAACCGTGCTCGCTTTGCTCTCGAAGTGGTTGATGCTGTCGCTGATGCTGTGGGCGATGACCGTACCGCTATCCGTTTCTCACCTGGTGGATCTTTCCAAGATATGGGAGATGAGACCGTTGTCGAAACCTGGAGCTACTTGACCTCTCAACTTCAAAAGAACCACCCTAACTTGGCCTATCTTCACTTTATCGAAGCTCGCGCCAACATCCAAGGTGATGAAGATACACTTACTGAAGACTCACTAGAACCCTATCGCAAGATCTGGAAGGGTCCTTTTATTGCCTCTAGTGGTTACTCCAATGCTCGCGAAAAGGCTATAGATTACGCTCAAAAGCATGGAAGCCTGATCGCTTTTGGTCGTGCTTTCATCGCAAACCCTGATCTTCCTGAACGTCTTCGCAACGATTGGCCATTGAACAAATATGATAGATCCACCTTTTACACTCATGGTCCTGAAGGCTACATAGACTATCCCTTCTACAAGGCTTAATTCTTTTACATATACACATTGCATCAGATTCCATCATTCTGCTTTCAGTCATTCTATGAAACTTGTAATAATAAAGACAGCTTATACCGTTTTAAATTATACTGTAAAGATAATGCCAATGGGCGGCTTTTTAAACCAAATTTAGTAATGTGAATTTACTCTAAAAATGATATTGTTAGCTTAAGATAGGCACGATAATCACTGTAAATGTCGCTGGTGCCAAGAGTAAAATTTGCACTTGTTAAATTCTAATGCCACGTTAACCATTGATTGATTTCGCTTACTAACAAATTAAATGTCGTACATGTAAAAGCTTTATCGTACAGAATATGAGTATATTAAGCATGAAAGCACTTTCAGATCTCTTTTTACTCTCTTTCTCATTAAAAACCGAGTATTACTATATGAGCTTTCAAATTTTCTACGAAGACAGGCACGGTAATGCAGTTGATTAATACGGTAGGCCTGAGTCTATGGACTATATCGTTGATGAAGAGCGATATGCTTTAGAAACAATTAGTTCACATACTCAGTATTTGTATAATCAGCCTCAGGAGAAT